CTCCCTGGACTGAGTCTACCAAGTCGATCACAGTCCTCGGGGGAGGACTCGTCCTGGAGGAGATGGGAATGGAGGGTGGGCTGGGGGTAAGGGGAGGGCGTGGGAGTGGGGAGAATAGGGGAACCCATGGCTGATATGTAGAACTGAATGGTATTGTAAAATAAAAAATATATATCACAAAAAATAAATAAATAAATAAATAAATAAATAAATTGAAAAAAAAAAAAAAAACACCACACTTTACTTTAAAAGAAAAAAAAAAAAGACAGGTACATACCTATAGAGTAGGTAGCAACTTTATTACCAAACAAGAGTTGGTTGCTTGTTTTATTACCAAAATTGTTGCACCATAATGAGGAAAAAAAATCAAAGCTAAGGTAAAGAAGCATCTATTAAAAATAATACAAAAAAGTGAAACCAGTTGACAGCAGAGTCTTGCAAAGGTAGTGTTTGGTTTGGACTCACAAGAATGCTAACTCAGGTAGAGACTCTCAGGGCCACCATGGGTTAAAGAGACCCCAGTGACAGGAAGAAGAATGGCCCTCAAGACTGTCTTCCTGCAGACTTGGTAGGAGGGCAGCAGAAGACATGCCCAGGTTCCAGGCCAACTTTGCTGAGCTCTTGAAGATGACCACGCCTGCAAAGGAAAAGTTGAAGTGTGAAAACACAGCCCAAAGCCACAAGGCTTGCGATCATACTATTAGAGCAGATGAAGAATTATGTTCCTCATAAGGCAATAAGAAAGGAAGGGGGGGAAGACCCAAATACTCACAAAAGACCACCATCTGCCTTCTTCCTGTTTTGCTCAGAACATTGTCCAAAGATCAAGTGTGAACACCCAGGCTTTGTCTGTTGGGAATAGAGCAAGGAAACTGGGTGAGATGTGGTCTGAGCAGTCAGCCGAAGATAAACCACCATACGGGCAGAAGGCTGCTGAGCTAAAGGAGAAGCATGAACTGCAGGATATTGCATGCCTTGCAGAGGGCCAAAGTGATGCAAGAAAGAAGGGCCCTGGTAGGGCAGCAGGCTCGAAGAAGAATGAATAGAAGATGAAGAGGAGGAAGAGGAAGATGAGAAAGAGGAAGACTAAGTGGCTTTTTTGTGATGCCTGGGGAGTGTGTGTGGGCCCAGTTGGCTATTTCATTACAATTGTGAAATTCAAGGGCAGCTCAAAACATTATCTTCTGTATAAATATTGTACAGTTTTTTGTTTAGCTTGTGGGAGTCTTTGTAGAGAAAATATACCCTTAAATTCAGACTGTTCAAAATTCAGAGAATAATAGGCTGTGAATGTTGAGAATAGACCATACATCTGTGTGATCCCTGCCCACTTTGAGGCTCAAGGAACGGAATTGAAGACGGTGTAGAAAGGATGGATGCACAAACCTGAGGAATGGAGAGGAATGCTGTGAAAGGCTGGCCTCTGACCATGACATGACTGTTACACAGACGAATTCACAGCAGCTGTGGGTACCCACACAAGACCTCCACAAGATCCAGAGAGTTAACAATGCCAGCATGGAAGGCGGAGGGACTCTCAATAACTCAGCCCCTAGCTGGGCTGCTAATGGCAATTGATAACTGCTAAGGGACAAAGAGTCTCTTTCTTTGAGAGAGGTGGCCACTGGCCCTTCTTTCTTCCAATCTTTCCCTCTCTACACATTTGAGCCATGGTCAATGTCACTGTCTTTTCCCTGTAACCTTTGCTAATTACTCTGAGGTACCATTGTTTCTGAGGTTCTTGGAAGGTACTCTAGGAAGACACACTTGTGTTGTCAGGCTCCTTGGCCTGATCAGTTGCACATCATGCTAAGCTTGTCAAAGCGCATGACAGTATGATAAATTGCCTTATAAAAGTCAGTGCCAGGTATGGTTATCTGCACGTTCCAGGGTTGATTAAAGTCCTTCTTTTGGTTCACACATGACTTTCAGACCTTCGGGGTACAAACCATCAGAAGTGACTGAGGCTTCTTAATGTATTGGGTTACCACACTGTGACTGAAACTTGGAGTCTCCCTGCACTCTGAGATAGATGGCCACTATGTCTGACTCCTTGTTAGTCTTTGCCAGGGGGTCCATACTCTTATACTAAGTTTCACCTCTCGTCACAACTTCTACCCTTAAAATCTCCATACCCAACAGTTTTCCATAAGTGCCACTAGATCTCCCCAACTCAGCTGGAAGAAAGATGCCACCCCCCATTTGAGTAACTCACCTATGAGTCAGTGACTTAAGGGTTGAGGGATAGAAGAACCACCCAGTGTCCTCTACCCAAAGAATCAAATGTCTTCCTGATATGCCCTGTGTGTTAGTGAGGGTCCAAGCAGGAACAAAGAGCCTAGCCTAGGTACTTCAACAGCAAGAGCTTCATGGAGGGATACAATGTTCATGGATTACTCTATATGCCTAAAACATCACACACAATGGAGGATACCCTTAAACAAGTAGATAGTTTGCTTAGCCAATTTCTTCACGCTATTCCAAACTTTTGGAGTAGTTGATTCTTCCTGAAGGTATTCTTGTTTAACTTACATGTCACAGTTGTTTCTTTATCTGGTCAGTCACACTCTCAGGCTCTTCTACTTCCACCTAATTTATCACTCAGTAATATCAAATAAACGTCAAATTAAATAAGCACAGCTTGGTAGCAAGAGTATTTCTTGCTTGTGTTGGATTTTTCACTAAAACATTTTTAAGTCTATAGTGTTTAAGCATTTGATTCCAGATGGTCCATACCATATTTCTGTTCTCATTTTTAATGAAAAGGAACCCCAAAATGGGAAATGAAGTCATACAGCCTTTAAATCTATTGTGTGAGCAAATGGTCCAGCACCCTTGAGACAAGCCTGACTCCTCCTTCTCAGCTGTGGTCAGGGATGCTAGCACGTCTTCAAATAACAGGCAAACAAAAATTCCCGGGGAAGTGACAAGAGCCAGCGAGCACTGTTTCTAGTCACCTCCATATTTCTGCTTGAACTTCTTTATTTGTTTGTTCTATAAGAAAGAAGTTAAGAAAAACCCATACCCAGCTTGTGTCCCCATTTTGTTTTTAATTTGCAAATGGCTACCCCCACCTCCGACCCCCTTTTTAACTGGGTAAAACATAGGTCTACAAAAAGGGCAATTTCAAATTTGTTCCCATGTTTCCTTTTAGGTGGACATGAGAAATGCAGGTATCTCTAGACTTTTGATAGAACAACTTGCAATGAAAAGATGAAGACTCACTCTCCACTAAGAGTAAATGTAAGGAGGCATATTGTCTCGTGGCTGCTGTCTGCTTCTAAACCAAAAAGAAAAGAAAGATAATGAATGGCATGAAAAGCCACACTGCTGTCTAACCTTTGAAGAGTTTCTAATTCTCATCATTTTGGACATTTTAGAAAATAAGCTCATGTTTCCACTATGACTATTACCCAAATACAAAACTATTGTTTTATTTGTATGTACAGAATCCTACAAATATCTGTAGGAGGGTTACAAAGCATTTGTACTATCCACACGGATATTTCAAAATCAAATATCTACAGTTCCTATTAAACAAAAGCGAGGCATTCACAGGAAGCCGCAGAGAAACCCATGCAGGTAATAAAAAATGAAATCCATCCATGACACGCCTCCATCTTTGTTACTTCCCTGTCTCACTCTGTGAAGAACACCCGACAGAAGCAGATCAAGACAGGAAAGTTGTGCCTCTCGGTGGCATGGTACAGTCCATCTTGATGAACAAATCATGGTGACAGGAGCTGGAGACAGCTGGCCACATTGCACTTGAGATGAAGAAGCAAGGAGAGATGAACTCTCTATGCTCAGCTTGCTTTCTGTTTTCCGTTCAGTCCAAGACCCCAGCCTATGGAGTGGTGTCACTTGCAGTGACAGGGAGTTTTCCCACCTCTGTTAACTTAATCCAGGTGATCCCTCTCAGGCATGCTCAGAACCTAACAACGTGGATAACCCCTCCTGGGCAGGCCTAGAATCTGGGCTCCTAGGTGAATTTAGACTTGTCAAGTTGACAATAAATATCCATCCCACCATCTCTGCAAGTGCATTTTCAAGTGAATGATACGTCTGGTAAGACTCCATTTTCACAGGCAATATTGTGGCACAAATGTTTGAGATTGCAAATGAGTAAAATCCTGGTGAATTCTAAATTAATATTTTTAACTGGCCCTTTAGAAGTTGAAACTTTCGATATTCTTCTAGAACAGTGATTCTTGACCTTCCTAATGCTGTGACCCTTTAATACAGTTTCACAGGTTGTGGTGACCCCCAACCATAAAATTATTTTCATTGCTACCACTATAAATCATAATGTAAATATTTGTGTTTTTCGATGGTCTTAGGCAACTCCTATGAAATGGTCATTCAACTCCCCAAAAAGTAGTGACCCACAGGTTGAGTACCACTGTTCTAGAAAGTTCTCCAAAGGTAAAACTTGCCATTCATTTGCATCTTTTGAAGTGTTTCACCAAGAACAAACTTACTAAGCCTCAGACACTACAAATATGAGTCCTGTTTAAAAGTATAAATGCCTTTATCAGTTAAGCAAAATTTAAGTAGAACATTTTAGCCTCCCTTGAAGTATTTTACAATACATACATCATCAAAATATGTACATGTTTAAGAAAGTCTGAAGACAATATATATGTTGCTACTTCTGTTTTCAAGACCCAGTTATGTAAATTTCCTGAAAACTATGTAAATAGTCAAGAATGTCAGGGGCAGTCTTAACTAATGAACTTACAACACTGACTTATAGAATAATAGTTCATTTCATGATTTGAAAATTTATCAACTTTGTAAAAAGGGGACCAGTGGGATGTCTCAGTGGCTCCACCAAGCCAGATAACCTAAACTTGATGCAGGACCCACAAAGTGGTAGTGCTATAGGGTGGTCTGTATGTTAAATTGCTCGGATTGGTCAATAAATAAAACACTGATTGGCCAGTGGCCAGGCAGGAAGTATAGGCGGGACTAACAGAGAGGAGAATTAAGGGAACAGGAAGGCAGAGAGAGATACTGCCAGCTGCCGCCATGACAAGCAGCATGTGAAGACACCAGTAAACCACAAGCCACGTGGTAAGGTATAGATTTATGGAAATGGGTTAATTTAAGATATAAGAACAGTTAGCAAGAAGCCTGCCACGGCCATACAGTTTGTAAGCACTATAAGTCTCTGTGTTTACTTGGTTGGGTCTGAGCGGCTGTGGGACTGGAGGGTGACAAAGATTTGTCCTGACTGTGGGCCAGGCAGGAAAACTCTAGCTACATGGTAGGAGAGTGCCAACTCCTAAAAGTTGCCCTCTGCCTTCCACAGATGTGCACACACACAACAACAACAAATAAGTGTGAGACAAGTCAGGAATTAAAAAAAAAAAATACTTCGGTTCAAAGGTCAAGCTGTTAGTGTTTCAGAGCTTGTTCTGACAACAAAGGACCTGGTGGTGTTTTCAGAGCTTCAATTCTCTTCTAAGTGTCCCTCCTTTCTGCCCTCCCTCGCTCCCTTCATCTTCTGCTTTTCCTTCCTTCCTTCCTTCCTTCCTTCCTTCCTTCCTTCCTTCCTTCCTTCCTTCCTTCCTCCCTCCCTCCC